TTACCATAATAGACACCATTTCGTACACAAATTCAAATTATAAGATACCCTAAACTAAAGCCAAGATATAGGGTAAACTTAAATAACACTTTAGCTCTTTTCCCATGACACTCATGATTTACTAGCATAGGATTTATATGATTTGGCTTATCTATTTTAACAAGGATGATTGACTTTTATCAAGTAGCACTTATAAACTTCGCAAGTGCTACTTTAAAATTGACATGCGTAGGGTCTTATAGGGTACGTATATTTTAATTACAAGTATATATTAGCAGTGTATATTAATATATACAGTTAGGGAACTATTAATAAGCTCATTATATTAGAGATATGTGTGTCCTAGTTCAATGTGTACAACGTACATACTCATTATATAAACATTGCAAGGACGTAATTTGCAACGGATTTATAAAGCATAATATATAAGTTACTTCCATGATTGAGTAAATTCATGGAACATATGTTTATATCATTCAATTTTGTATCATATAAATGTTAAAAACTAATAATCATATGATAATTAGCCTGAATACTTATATTAACATATAAATATAATGTATACTTGGTATATTACACCTAATATACCAAACATGTAGTACTATATAGTTTTCCACATTGTGATACAAGGTATTTACATTGAAAGTATACAATTCTACATGTTTATTAATAGGTTATACATCTTATATATTAATCTTATACATGCTTATCAATAGTCATAATACTACTGATCCCATAATTTAACATCACCGCAAATGTACATTTATACAATAATCATGAGATATTGCATATCTTAGCTTATATACAAACGGTTATATATAAACTTTATCGAAAAGTTTATATAAACTGGAGATATATTTAGTGTTTCATAAATTGACGACGATAAGTAATATCCACTTATTGTACAATATCACTTAGCAGATACACACCATCAAAGTTTTGTGATATTCAAAACTTATTTTGGGAGATCTTTAAATTATATGATAAATTAACGTATTAGGCTCCATAATTATAACCGGTAATATATCATGAGCTAAGTTTAAAATCTCTTTCCCCGCTACTATTTATCTTCCATAAGAGAATTTATATAGTACCAGCTTTGTCGGTGTTAAGAATGACAATATCATAATAGGTGTAGGAATAAGTGAATTATAATTGTACACACAGCACAAGTTATCTCTAAATGTACGTTTGGGTTTGACTGCAAGTTCATCCTAATTATATATAATATAATTATAATTCAGATATTTGTGTAAATATAGGATTACTATTTTGAACGAAGATCTAAATAGTATTAAGTAATCACGCATAATTTGTATATTAATGTCGGAAATTCAGATTAAAATGTAATACAGATTTAGTCTATACAATGCAACAAATGTTTATGGCATTAAAATCTAAGCCACCGGATATTTAAATTAGTCAGATAAATATTAGTCAATCCCTATGTTTTGTCCCGTTAGATATGAATTATTGTATTAAGGGAGAAGTTATGTTTAATATCTCCCTGAACATAGAATTTGGTCGATGGTAAGTATAATATGTTCTAAATATTACTGTATGAGTAATCACCATATAGTCAATGTGTTTTATTAGGTTTCGAGCGCATAATGGTTCTATTCTACACTGAAAGATATGCCTTTAGTAGGTAATGTAACTTATTAAATATTCACTCATATGTCAACCATTCCGTGTAAAGAGATTAGTAAAATATAATGAGCGCAACTATTATCATATTAAGTATATAATAGTTAATATATTAATCATATATTAGTTAATATATAAACTATATAATATATTAGTTAATCATAATTGCTGATGTAATTACGCTATGTCATCCGTTATCTAAGTCACATTGGTATTTCCTTATATGCATTTTTTAGTTTTCATCCCAGCGAAGTTGTAAATAAGTGCCTGATTTTGTACTCAGATAAAATTATCTTCAAAAGCTTAATACGCTTTTAACATGGTTCTTTACCTTTCATCTAAATCATTGGATTAGATGATAATATCATTACTTAATTTAGGCTAAATATTTGTGACACTCATATCTTGTTGTGTGTCTGACTACATATCTTATACCTAAGCAAAACGGGTATAAGATTTTACCACTAGTTCATTTATCTAAATATTGTTTGAAATCTGATTATATCAAACGCTAAATTACAGTGCCTAAACACTGAGCAAGATATGATCTTATATGTTCAGACACACAACAAGATATGAGTGTCACAAATACTTAGCCTAATCTCCATAGAGATAATTACGCCTGATTTATTCAGATTATATGTGTTTAGAACTAAATGTTTACCAGTGTAGCTTTTGATGCATTGTACCCAAATTTGTAATGCTTCACATCAAAGGTTTTATGAAAGTGCAATTAATACGTTTAGAACAATGGACAGACATCTAAGTGCAAAACGGTTCTGAGCTCATTTCACCCTTAATTTAGCACTTAATCTCTATAATTTAGGGCTAAGTATGCTCTGATTGTCCCCAAAATTTTCAGTATCTTGAAACCATAAATTTAACTATTTAGAATTTAGGGTTTTCATTAACTCTAAATATTTGTGGAAAGATATGTCTAAAATCAGTCTATTAAAGATACTGAAAATCCTTTTTACAATTGTCTTTCCAAATTCTGTCACAAATACTTAGCCCTAAATCATAGAGATTAGGAAGGGCTATATTGTTGAGCTATCAAAACCTGTGCCATATCAGTTTTAAATACCCCCTCGATAGTGCCTTTAAGATGTCAACGCTAAACCATAATTACACCCCTTTTATTATTGACACTTTTAGATTTAATATTACAATGCATTATCTCTAAACTTTTGTTAAAGATAGGTTTCACAAATATTTAGGCTGACACTCATATCTTGATGTAAACAGATATCCTATATGTAAACCGTTTACTATATCTCTATATCAACTTTCCAATGTACAAGTCTGGAATAATGTTATCTTGTTAATTTATTCCAAGTTAATAAAGGATGATATTTGTTACAGGCGTGATCGATTGTATATAAGTTTTCACATAGGCTTAACAATCAGAGCAAGGGTTTGATTAAATTTAACTCAAGCCTAAAATTCCAATAATATCTTTTCCATTTTGTACTCTGAGTAGAAATGATTATTAAGGTTGATGACAATATAGCTATGAGATTATAGCTATAAACCCTAGGCGCTGGTTTATAATATTTTAAGCCTATGAGCTCATTTTGAAAGGATATGAGCATTAGTAAGACTAGATTTTCACCCGCGCGATGCGCGGTCCATATTATCGAATAGTTATAGGGAAAGTTCTCGAAATAGGACTAAAAGATTTTGAAAATTCCAAAATAGTACTTCATGTTTTTTTATTCCCAAAATAGGAGTAATTACTTTCAAGTTTGGAAAATACTGTCATGTTTGAAGTCCGGTACTGCCAAAACATGACAATAATTAGTCCTATTTTGGGAATAAAAACATAGCAGTCCTATTTTGGAATTTTCAAACCTTTTTAGTCCTATTTCGGGTAATATCTCATAGTTATATAATCTTATTTATTAACGTTATTAGTGCATGTGCAGATGATATTTTTTTATACGCATGTAATATATATGAACAATATACAATAATTATAGAGAAAACTATAGTTATCACTAATACGATTTACAATGATAAGAAAGATAGATAAAATTATATTATTCAATACAAACACTCACATTTAAGAAATAATAAAAATCACAACAATTTAAATTATATAAAATATGAAATTATACAATTATACAAAATTTACAGTGTATAAAATATATACATGTAAAAATATCAGAATATAAATATATAAAATATGTAAAATATCTAAATAAATATATAAATATATAAAATATTAAAGTATAATGACTTTTCACAAAATAATGATACACATTATGTTCTGTTCAATACATTTTTTTATCAGCCTTTTAATTTTAAAATAAAAGAAGCCCACATGAAAAAAAATCCAAAATCCAGCCCAGCCCACATACCCCGTTTAGTACTGCCCATTTAAGACCCAACAAAACCAACCCTACTCTCCCTCCGCTACTCTAGTATTCGTCAGTTCCAGAAGAGTCATCGGTTAAGCTGATGCTCTCTGGAACCATTCGTCCTTTCTCCCTTCGCTATACAAACTTCGCCCCTTCTCCGTCGATATGTTCATCCACACATAGCTTCTCCCTTGATGTTCATCGTCCAAACGTCCCCTCCAGTTCAATTGTCCGGCCGATATGCATCCTTTCGTTCCTACATCGTTTGTGAACGGTGCGGGCTCAAACAACGGCGGCAACCGTTAAACAGACCACGTGAACGTTGATGGATATGTATATTATCTTCGTCCTCGATCTAATTATTGAATTTGCATCTGATTGATAAGATTTTTTATACGATTCATGGTATGATTTATAAATTTGTTTAATCTCATTTGGTTTTATTACATATTTTCAAATGGCAGTGAGTATATGATTAACAAATTTGTTTAAATTGGTTTGAAAAGGGTTTTCAAAATTTGTAAATCTATTTCACTAAGATTTACTTTTTACACTAAATCTATTTCACTAAGATTTACTTTTTACACCAAATATAATTAAATCAATTCAAATTTAAAAGTTTTTAGTTTGTTAGTGTCTAAAGTTATAAATCACGATCCAAAGAGTAAATGCTAATAACTTGAAAGTCATGAAGCATTAGTTTTTATAAGTGTAGATGTAACACTAAGATGTATAGAGTACTACATATATTTTTACTTCATTGGTATTTTCTGATTTTTCTCTAATTCTTATATTCATTTTTAAAAAATTTGGTAGTTAGTTAGAGTTAATAAAAAGTACCACTTTGTTACTACTATGTTATACTCCGTATTTAATCCAATCATATTTTCTAAGTATCTAGGCATTAACATGTTTCTTAGTTTAAAAGTTTCAATTGCATACGTATTATTTGACTTACATATGTATAACCTAAGAGGTAAGAGAATAAACGAATTTATCAATCAATGTTTGCTCGATCATATATTATTTATTCATTAGATGTGGTAGGTAGTGAATACTTATATTAAAAAATGAATTGTATACAACTTATTACCAATAACGATTTTACAATTACAACAGTTGGAATAATAACTTTACAAATGTAAATTTTTCTTTGTTAGCATTAAGGGAATGTTGAGCTCTATCTGAGAATGAGTTTGTAGCTCTTAGTCTCTCAGGCCTCTGTTTTGTTAGTATGCTCCTTATTTGTTGATCCTGCTCAAGTGACATAAATGGTTGGGTTGGTTTACATTCCTGATCTGTATCATATTTAAACTGCAATCCAGAAAAAATACAAAATAGATACACGGTAATAGAGCATTTCGGAGTCAAAAGACACAGTTCCAGTTGCTTCAAGTTCAGAATTTCAAACACAAAAATAAAACTTTTGTTAAGTTTTAACAAAAACCAAAAGAGATTGTTTTCCATCCATCTTCTTCTTTCTCCTGCACTCCCGTACTACTCATCTTGTTTGCTCATTATTTTTCATTCTCTTGTGTTGGGCATTATTGGGGTGTTGAACCCTCAGATTCTTTTTCATTGGTACATCTACATCATTAATCACATACTTCTTTGAGTTTGGTGCAGGACTTTTCAAAAGCATTTCTACTCAACCTATCCCCCATTTATGTATTTAGGATTATTATTTGGTATTTCGTTTAAATGCAAAAACAATCACATATTTTTTTTAATTAAGAATCCAAAATATTACCTTCTTTGGTTTGTTGACTGCCCAGACTTCCCTTTTCTGTAGTAATTTCCTAGTTCGTTGCAATAGCAACACTCTGAAATAAAGCCAAAATTAAGATATTTATTGTTGATCAGTATGAATATGGAAACTTATAAAATGTAAAAACACTGGAAAATGCATGCATTTTTTATTTTTTGACATTTTTCTACATTTGTAGTGAAAAAACAACTTTGTACCAGGCAGAGTGGTAGAGATGGTGGAGAAAAGTTTCAAACTCATAGCCATTGATGAACTCTGGACTTTGTAGCTCAAAAGACTTGGTGCTGTGATATGTGTGGTAGAGAGATTTGCGTTGTGAGATGTCTTATTTATAGTAGAACATAGGTGGCGTGCTATCTATCTTAACCGATAGGGAACCCCAATAAATTTTTGTTTGAATTCTGCAAATATCTTTTGGACAAATCGGTAGTGTATGATGAATCAAATCTCATTTAATGATGTTTCCTATTTTCGAAAAACTCCCAACTACCTTAAAAGTAGTTTGAATTGGCGACCTATATGAAGAATGTTGGTCAAAGTAAAATCAAGGCTTCATAGGCTAGTTTTTGAGAAGATGCCATTTGGACATTTTGCATTAAATGCTCCATAGTTGAATGGGACACGTTATATATGTTGCTGTTTCTGAACTTAATGCACTCTTGCTTTATTTAATGTATTATGTCACTTCATCAATCCCCAATGCAATATACTTGTTCACATTTCGAATAGATTGAAAGGAATTCATTCAATGAGCTCCAACCAACAACTGCCTGGATATTCCATGATGCAATAAACCCGACCCCTTTTCTCGTGACCCGACCCAGTGAATACCACCTAATTTTGGGCGGGAAAACCACCTGGTTTTCCACCTCTTTTTATATAGAGGTAGATATGAGATAGTCCATCATAGATATATAATGCGTTCTAGGCACCGGTTTCTTCAAATATTTCAGATTTCACTCCGAACTCGCTTAGAATTTGAAATAGAGCTTTGTAAATGTTTTAGCCTTGTATTTTAAGATTAAAATTTGTCAAAGTATTCCATTCCAACTCAGGAAATAAGCTTGGTTTTATATGTTCTATTGATATAAGATACGTCAGATCTTATATACTACCAAGAGATATAATTTGTAGTATACCTTGGAGAACTCATTGTCACGATAGGGAAGTATACATAATACTGTTTCTCGGATAAGTAATATACGAGATAGACAATTAACACTAATGTCACTATTTCTTTATCTCATCCAGGTGTTCTCATTAATAGAGCACGTTTTATTATTATACCTTAAAGGAAGCATAAGGTTTACATATCTAAACGGTATGATTTTCAGGCAAGATATATGTTCTCACAAATAATTTCTTATTCGAAATTATATATGTATTGATTCGCAATATCTAGATATGAGTTCTTTAAACATCTCAATTTATATCTATGACGACACGCTAAATCTGCCTTCCTTGTAAAGATAATCATTGACAAAACTAGCAAAATAGTTCTTATACCGTCGATAAGAAATTTGAATTATTTGTAAAATGATTTTTACTCTTTAAACTTATAGATAAAACCTAGTTTAACGCCCGGAAATTATACGGCCTCGAATTTACTTAAGTATTGCATTTTCTTTAGGAGTTGCGCCTTGGATTTCCAAAGTCATATCTTGCTAGTAAAGAGATTGTTCCGTCAACTTATGTTTTAAATGACATGTTGGAAAAATGTGTGAAAAAATTGCATTAAATGGCTATTTTGGGGCAATTTTTTGAGTGGGGTCCACTTCCGATTGGGGTCGGGTCAAAGTGGTTTCGGATTGTCCTTGTTAAGGACTACAATTCGATATATGGTACGCTCAAACCGGATAACGGGTGAATGAGAAATCGCTTTTCGAAGTTTACCCGTTAGAAGGGAAAAAGGATGGGTTTCTAGTGTGTTAATTTCCCACACCGGAAAACCCAAGGGATTTGCTACCCTTTATAAAGGGACTCCCCCCTTATGGAGTTAAGATTCTTAAGGGTAAAGGCTCTCTCCACGCGCGCAGGGGGGGTGCAAATCAAATCCCGAATTCGGAGAAGAAAAACCGCGACTTGCGTGCGCAAACGACCTGCGGACACGAATGTCGTCCAAAAATCGATCTCTCAAGAGATACGATTAATTTTTGTTTTCTTCCCGAAACGTTTAATTTTTTTCCAGCGACAGGAGTGCTCGGACAGAAGCCTACGGATCAGAACACCTCATTGGTGTTCTGATGGCAGAACCCCTCATGGGGTCTTCTGATGGCTTCTGAACCGTTACACAAATAAATGCCCAACGTTTATATCTTTTAATGCAGCGTTAAATGGACGATTCAATGCCCAACGGACTGGTCATTGATGTCCAACGTTCAGGTCCATTAATTCACTATTTTCACACAACAAATCCTCCTATATAATGGCTGGCAGGTGGTTTGCAACAACACACGTTCTTACACGAATTCATACACGTTTTGCACCTCTAAAAACACACTGCTAGCATTCTGCAAAATCCTCTGTGTTCAGTCTTGTTCTCGTTCGCTGGAACTTGGGTTTGAGTGCTCAAACACTAGTTCGTTGTCATCGTATCCTGGGAAACTATTGTTGCAACGCTCCTAGCACCGTGGGAGGCAACAAATACGTTTTAAGGACATCGTGCGTAGCACGAGCTTTGACAAATTCTGCTCCATCTCTATTCTTGTTTTCTTTCGTCATTTTATTTAATTAATTTATTTTAATCAATTTTCTTTATTTTCCGAAACACACCCAACAATCTTAAAACGTATTTGTTTTGTTAAGCTTGTATCATACGGATACAATCTTAAAACGTATTTCGTGATTGCTATACTGCGGTATACAATCTTAAACCTGTAGTTTGTCACTTTGGTGAACGAACTTATTTTTTGTGTTTTCGGAAAAAACGTTAAGAAATCGAAAATGACTTCTCAAGAAAACGAGATTGGTGTTGGGCAGAATGTTCTGAACGACAATCACTCTGAAAGCGGAGCTCCGGTGAACAATAGTTCACAACGCGGAGCATCTGCTTTGAACCAAAGGGTTATCCCTATGGTTACCGTGCCAAGCAACTCTGTGGAGAAACCTGAAAAATTTAATAGGTTAAACTTCAAGAGGTGGCAGCAAAAGATGCTATTTTATCTCACTACTCTCGGTCTTGCGAGGTTCTTGACCGAGGACGCGCCGGTTGTAACCGGGAGTGAGGTAGATGTGCAATCTCTCAACGCGGTTGAGGCTTGGAAGCATTCTGACTTCCTTTGCCGAAACTATGTGTTGAACGGGCTGCACGATGCTTTGTACGACGTTTATAGCAAATTAGCTACTGCTAAGGAGATATGGAATGCTTTGGACCACAAATATAAAAGCGAGGATGCCGACGCAAAGAAATTTGTTGTTGGTCGATTCCTTGATTTTAAAATGGTGGATTCGAAGACGGTCTTGAGTCAAGTTGAGGAGATGCAAATGATCTTCAACGAAATTCGAGATGAAGGAATGACAGTTAGTGAGTCGTTCCAAGTGGCGTCAATTATCCATTTATTGCCGCCGGCTTGGAAGGATTTCAAGAACTACCTTAAGCATAAGCGAAAGGAAATGAACTTGGAACAATTGATCCTCCGTCTGCGGATTGAAGAGGATAACCGGAAGAACGATGGGAAACTCCCAATTGTTCATGGTGCCAAGGCCAACGTGGTGGAGCATGCAAAAAGCTCCAAAAATAAAAATAATGGGAAGAGCAAGCTCGGTCCCAAGGGAGGCATTTCCAAGACAAAGTTCAATGGAAAATGCTTCAATTGCAATAAAATTGGACACAAGTCCTCGGATTGCAAGGCACCAAAGAGGAAGAAAGATTCTCACGTCAACTTGGTGCAAGGTGGGCAAAAGGATGAAGACATCATCCTTGCGACGGTGGTTACGGAAGTCAACCTCGTTGGATCCAATTCCAAGGAGTGGTTTGTGGACACCGGTGCTACCCGACATATTTGCTCAAACCGGGAGTTATTCACTACTTATGAGCCATCAAATGGTGAGAAAGTGTGGATGGGAAACTCGGCTCATTCCGCGGTTGAAGGCGTGGGCAAGGTGGTCCTGAAGATGACTTCGGGCAAGGAGCTGACTCTTAACCAAGTGCTGTTCGTTCCGGAGATACGCAAAAACCTGATTTCCGGTTCGTTGTTGAACAAGCATGGCTTTCGTATGGTTTTTGAGTCGGACAAATTAGTTTTGTCCAAGTCGGGAATGTATGTGGGCAAGGGGTATGCATGTGATGGGCTGTTTAAGCTCAATGTAATGACTATTATTAAAAATAATAATAAAGTCTCTTCTGCTTACTTGCTTGAGTCTTCCAATGTATGGCATGGTAGACTAGGACATGTTAATTTTAATTCTATACGTAGATTAATTAACATGGAACACATTCCTAAATTCACAATTGATGTGAAACACAAATGTGATATTTGTGTTGAGGCAAAACTAACGAAAACGTCTTTCAAATCGGTTGAAAGAAAAACGGAACCACTAGAATTAATTCATAGTGACGTTTGTGATTTTAAATCAATACAAACACGTGGCGGTAATAAATATTTTATTACGTTTATCGATGATAGCACTCGCTATAGCTATGTTTATTTGTTGAAAAATAAACACGAAGCAATCGATAAATTCATTCTTTATAAGAATGAAGTGGAAAACCAACTTAATCGACGGATTAAAACGGTTAGGAGTGATCGAGGTGGTGAGTATGAAGCACCAATTGGTGACTTTTGCGCTAGTGTGGGTATAGTACACGAACGTACTGCACCCTATTCACCTCAATCAAACGGTGTTGCCGAACGAAAGAATCGCACATTGAAAGATATGATGAATGCGATGCTAGTAAGTTCGGGCCTGCCACAAAATATGTGGGGCGAAGCGATCTTAACAAGCAATTACCTTTTAAATAAGGTTCCCCGGAAAAAATATGATAAAACTCCATACGAGTTGTGGAAAGGCAAACAGCCTTCCTATCAATATCTAAAAGTGTGGGGTGTCTTGCTAAGGTGCTTGTACCAACACCTAAGAAAATAAAAATAGGTCCAAAAACGGTGCATTGTATTTTTATTGGATATGCACAAAATAGTAGTGCTTATCGGTTTTTAGTGTACGATTCGAATAATCCGGATGTACATAAAAACACAATAATTGAGTCAAGGAATGCATCATTCTTTGAAGACGTATTTCCATGCAAGTCCAACGTTGGACCTAGCACGTCAAAACGAACATTTGACGTAGCTATGGAAAATACTAGCGAGGGATCCGGTGAAGAACCCGAACCCCGACGTAGCAAACGTGCTAGAGTTGAAAAATCCTTCG